TACTAGTATGCGGGTTTCGTACATGAGAAAATTTCCTTTCTGGTTCACTTTTAATCAGCAAATTTAGTATTTCTTCAGTTGAATGGAATATTTCTTGGTCGTTTTTGGCTTTCCTTTTATTGATAGTTTTCGGTTAGCACAAGATTCCCTGGTGAAGTGCACACAATTTTAAGAAGGCTTATCCTTCGTACACAATCAGTGTTTGCAATGTATTAAGAAAATTGGTTCATGCTTTTAGCTGTAAATATCTCGAGTTACGGCTGCACATGAGAAATTCGGACTGCACCTTAGAAGCTATAAATGCTCTTGGGTCACCTCAAGCAACTCTTACGCTTCTCTTGTGCTCTCCAAACTTGTCGCGTGCATCTATAAATCGATAATGCACACTAAATATGAACCAATTCTTTATTGCTACAAAAGATGTACAAAATCATAAAATCTACTTTTGTTTGTTACTTTATGTGACCATATGCGCACGACTGAAGATGATATTTTCCCTTCTTCTTTACGAATCTTTTGTCTCAGAAAACTCTCCAGAGTCAAATAAGCAAGACTTGTTAGCAGAATACGAACTCATGACACAGCTCCAACACCATCCCAATATAATTCGCTTGATGGGTGCTGTTACAATGTCAGGTATGCCCACTATATAGCGTGTACGATTCTCTTGTTCCGTCTGGAAGAGTTGCATCTCCAATCGAGTAAGTTGTACCCATTTGATATTGCCCATGATCCTTCACAACGTTCTGAGGTTACAAGACCAACTGTTTCAGGTAAAAGCTTTCTGGACAACTTAACCCATGTATATCTTTGGAACGAGTAGTCTTCATTTGAAATGCTCATATCAATACCTACCCTTAAACACGAGGGCGCGCTATAAAATGAGAGGTCCCTTAGGTGCCTGGTAGACGAACAAAAGGAGCTAATGAGAATTTTACTTCCACCAGCATGGTGGCAGTGATGTAACGTGCGAACCACCTACTTCGATTTCAAATTTACCGCCACAAATAAAGACAATTTCCATTGGAGAGAGGAAATACAAATCTCAAATACTCTTGTATTGTGATGAAAACATAAAACAATTTTGAAGAATGCGCCCGCTGTTCTCTGCTTTGGATTACCTATAGCTCAAGCTGACTTGACTCTTAGAGTTCTTCATCACACGACGGTTGATTGACAACTGATCCAGAGGTCCCTAATGCACCTCTCCTTTTTTAACAATTTTTTAATTATAGACTAGTGAGCAGCACTTCTGCGAACAGTAGTTGTAAAACTTTTAGTTAAAACCGTGGCCCCCAAAATATTTTTCTCACCTTGCCTTTCACATGTTAAATTTTTCACAAATTTTTCACGGCTTCGCCTGTTCCTGTTCGTAAGTCCGGCCGAGCCTTTACCGTCACCGCCCACTGTAACTTCGGCTTATGAATACAGGCGTTTAGTCATACTTGTAAAACTCCCAGAAGAAGTCTACGACAGTTAGACGAAACGCGTAGGAAAATACAACAAGTTTTACAATTACTGTTCGCAGAAGTGCTGCTCACTAATCGATAATTAAAAAAAAGCGCGCCTTCGTGTTGAGCAGTTTAGCGACTACTTCTTTTGAAAGTGTGGGAGAGGCCAAGGCCTAACGGCCTGCGTGTTAAGTTCTGGGTCGAGACGTTCGGGGTCCGCAGAATGAAGGGGGAGGGGGGACAACGATGGTCGGGCATCTTTTCCAGGAAAAGTGACAATATTCTCACCTCCGCCATTCATTTGTTTAAGAATTTTACGATGAGGATGCAATCTTCCCTTTTTTTACTCATGGATTGTTCTGCTTGATTTTTAGATCCAGTTATGGTTCTCTTCGAGTACATACCATTTGGTGATCTTCTTGGTTTCTTAAGAAAAAGCAGAGGTCTCAATGATGATTATTATCAAGATCCAGATGTTAAGCCACCAAGTTCTCTTTCATCTAAACAACTTCTTAAATTTGCTCGAGAAATTGCTGATGGTATGGCTTTCCTGGCAGCAAGCAAGGTAAACAGAGTAGTAACCAGTCCGTTTTCAGTCCACTTAATCACACTTTAAAAGAGATTCTTAACATGCAATCCAGCCGTTCGAAAACTGAATACATCCTTGAATACATCTATGTTGAAAAGTGACCACAGCGACCCAAACGCTAATGTCCAACAATTATCTAGGTAACAAAACGTAGAGAGGAGTAGACAACATGGCCGGGCAGAGATAGGAAATTTCTATTCGAGTGTTGAAAACTCAGTTTACGTCATTGTGTATCCAGAATGACGTGTAAAACAGTCTTGTTGATCAGTAAGGCTCCTAGGGACGTTCAGATCCCATGCTAATYTAATTACAATACCGCAAGCTAAGCCGTAAAATAATGGTTCTATGTAATTTGATATTGGTTACTAGTTTCGGTTGTCATTAACTTTTAATTAGTGAGCGGTGACTAAAGGTAAACTTGTTTCATTATGCGAAATCAGAGTTCTAATATCACAATAGCAACTATAACAAACGGAAAACAATCGAGCATATATTCATCTACGCAGGGGGGGGGGGTCCTAGTCCCAATGTCCCAATGGCACTATTAAAAATCTCTGAAAATTACATATGTTCACACGATTTCTTCCAAACTCCTTTAGATAGTTCACCGAGACCTGGCGGCTAGAAACGTACTTGTGGGTGAGGGGGAAACATGCAAAATAACAGACTTTGGGATGGCCAGAGATGTTCAAGGAGGCGATATTTATCAAAAGCGNGTTTCCAGATCGAATTGGAATTTGGAATGTTGGTTTTTGCGGAGGGAGGAAAACCGGAGGACCCGGAGAAAAACCCTCGGAGCAAGGACGAGAACCAACAACAAACTCAACCCACATGAGACGCCAGGTCCGGGAATCGAACCCGGGCCACAGTGGTGGGAGGCGAGTGCTCTCACCACTGCGCCATCCCTGCTCCCCTCAATATATATTGTTAGGGCTTGCATATGATTACAATTGATATGATCCAGCAATGCAAGGATATCGCGCAAAATCAGTGCATGCCACGTGATAAATACATCTTTCGCCGTTGATTCTTTGCAGATTGGCTGCGCGTTTTCAAATGTATTTCGCTAAGGACGACTCCCAGTTATGAAGCAGTCTATGGAAAAGTCATGAGACCAGATACCTTTTTAGGGTGTAATATCAGTTTACCTGTTTCGGTCCAGTATCTCGCATAGGCGAAGGCGCCTATGCAAGTGACAGGTAATTTTTGAAATTTTTCCAACCACAGTGTTTGTATGTCTCAGGGCCGCCTCCCAGTAAAATGGACTGCAGTGGAGGCATTGCTGTATGGTTACTATACTACAAAGAGCGACGTGTAAGTTATTACTTTTGATGATAAGAGCAGTGTTTTGTGAATGGCAGATCAACTAAACCAGCAGCAGTTAGAAAGCGAATTATCTCAATCAAACGAACCAGTTGAACCACGGAGTTCCTCGGAAGCTTTTAAGCTTAGCATTAGAGCTTAAAAGCTCTAATGATTTGAGATAAGGAGGGCACCAAAGCTTTCCAGTCAGCACACTTTGGTTTGATATCGCAAAACCACGAACCTGATCCAATGGTTTCAAAGTACGTGAAGATTTGTTGTATTGCCGTTTGCATCTTCTCCTCTCTGCAAAGTCATCAGTAGTGTGATTATTGCGCTTACAACACTCCCAGAAGTATGTAATCACGTGTTTGATTTTTTTTCTTTTTTGCATTTTTCAGGTGGAGCTATGGCATTGTGTTATACGAAATCTTCACTATAGGTATGGTAACAGATTCTGCATCTTAGATCTTTTGTGATGCTAAAAGATTAGATACTGAGGCAGCGAACCACAAATCTCTAGAGATCTCGTTAATTTCCTTATGATGCATGTTTACTAACTTCGACTGTTGTGTCTTAATAGGTGGTCGTCCTTACCCCTCAGTTGCAGCTCACAATATCCCTTATAAGATAAAAGGCGGTTACAGAATGCCTAAACCAGGCCACTTAGACGATGATATGTGAGTACAACATTATTGTGGTTTAGAAACATTTACTTGTGGCAGTAGTGATACTCGTGACATTTTACTTCAGAGCCGCTCAAAGTAACAGGGACCTCAATGTGACAAACCACAAAGGCTACAGCAATGAAAACCTAGCCTAACTAGCAGTCAGAACAATTGTCGACAGTTAGGCCAAATCACCTAGAAAACTCTAGCCGGAGCTTATTCCAGGCGGTTCCCCTAAAGTTTGCAGGGTGGAGAGAGAAAGAGAGAGAAAAACCCCGTGAGAGTAAAGTGTCATGCCAAAGAACACAAAGCAATAAATGACCCAACTAAGTCTCCATCCCGAACCTTTAGTCACTCGCGAAATTCCCAAGACAATAAGCATCTCATTTTTTTCTAATCCTACTATTCTTGAGTGTCATCAGACTTCAAAAATTGCCTCCAGAACTATTCAGTGTATGACGGAATAACTCCATCGCAGCTGCCTATTTTCTACATTTTGGGTGGTGTCTTGTACAATAGTAACTGACCAGATTCACGTTTGAATCTTCAGCTATGCGCTGATGACTGAATGCTGGGATAAGGAGCCGGATCGCCGTCCGACATTTGAATCTATAAGCAGAATTGTCAAACGCCTTGAGAATTGTCACAAGGTAAAAATAGATACTTGTTTTCCCTTATTTGGTTTTACTGCGAATCATTAAGGCAGGGATCGACTATACAAGACATGTGCTGATGTAAAATAGTCCCAGAGAAGGATTTCATATTATCACGATTCCTTTAATCTAAGTAGTATCATTTCTTTTCTCAAATCATGGCACTGGTGAGATATACGCTTGGTTCCGTTAGAGGATCAACCTTGGCAATTCAAATCGCGAGGCTTAATTAACGGATATATGCAAATAAACATGCTGGTCTGTTACAAGCTTCCAATCTTGTTATCTTTTTTTTTTTGGTTTTGTTTTTGTTTTCATCCGTTTCAGGAAATTATTTACATGAATGTGTATGACGAAGATCTTTACAGTAACTTGGAAGACTGGGACGAGTACTAACAAGGACAGAGAGAAAGGTCTTTTTGATAGAGGAAAACGTTTGTATCACTTAAATCTTAACTTTTTTTTCCCTGATTCTTCTTTGACGAAGTGCTTTTAACATAGGTTGCAATACGGATACATTACTCCGTTGCTTATTGACTATGGTACAAACAACATTTTAATTTTTTTTTTCTTTTTTTTTAAAGTATGTTCTACCTACAGTATACCTTTAGTTTTGTTAATATATCTTGGCTACTGATAGCCATATGCTTTCATGAGTATAAGATCACTCACTCCAACTAACACTGAACTAACTAACACTAACTGACACTAACTAACTAACTAACTAACTAACACTGCTCGAGGAATGACCCAGGTAATTCAGCTACAACAATGTTATTTAAAGATGATGTTATAATTATCAAATAGTAGTTTTAAAAGGTGCGTTTAATTTTCAATGTCTTACTTATGCAATGAAGTAAGGAAGGATGCCATTATGAGAGGGAGTCGCTACCCGGAGGTTCTGGAGCATTTTGAAACAGATTTTCGCGGGAATTCAGCTTTTTAATTTCGTAAAAAGAAATTAAGTACATTGTAGCATGTAGACACGTGATGCGTTTTTGAGACAGAGAACACAATTTGTTGCGCACTCTCGCTGAGCAAAGCTGACCGTTTGCAGCCTCGTGAAAAGTGTTCTTCGTTCCGTCAGTTGCTATGATTGTTAATACACTATGGCCACTACTTTTGCAGCGAGGTCGTCGTCGTAGATAAGTTTAAATAGGGGAGCATGCAAGGACAGGTCGCCGTCGTAAAACGCGTACCCTTCTGAATAAGAAGTCGTTAGTGGGGATCCGACTGGAGTTAAAGTGTACATGAGGCACAAGGATACATTTCTCAAGTTGATTTTTTCTAATTTTTGACATTTTAATATTGTAAAAAGAAAAAGAAAAAATAGAAAAATCACTTAATAAGAATTAAAGTAATAGTGTCTTGAACGTAATTCCAGTACACTTTTAAAATGCGTCACGTTTTCCAAACATGAAAATTATGACTGACTTCCGATGGTGCTGTAGCGCCTGGTTTAACAGGCCAGTCACATTAGGTAGTCTCGAGGCCTTCTTAGTTCCATTACAAATTAAAATAGACGCTTGTATTCCGAATTTTGCTAAAACAACTACATTCGTCAATCACCTGTTAATTGAATCATTGCCTCTAACAGTTACGCCGGTCCAGTAGTATAAGGGCGTCTACACCTATATCATTAAGTAGGTGGAAGTCTTAAGAATACATGTCAAGTACTTTTTTATTTAAATATACTTTAAAAATTAAATAATATTTTCCATATTCTCTTCAGCCATTGTCTTGATTTTCTTTTGATTTTACCCGTCCGAATTAAATTCTGGGCATGTTGGTTGTCCTAGCTTCAGCAAAGATCTACAAAAAGTATTAACTAAAATTTATGCTGGAAGGAAAGCCATCGTCTTCCGTTGTTAGAGTTCTGGAGCCCCTTTGGATCTCAAGAGTATGAAAGTTAAAACGTGCGCTGTGGCTTAAGCGTCCATATCGTCGACGTTCTGATAAAGTTTGCTGTCGTAGTCCTGAAGGTTGATGTAGGTCTGAAAAATTAATGTTACAGTAACGGTTTGAGTTCTTCATGCAATGAATTGAAATACTTTTCATTTATGAGAACCTTTAGCACAATGTTTGTGCCTGATCTGGCTTTTCTTTACTTTCATAAAGACCAAAACAAAACAAAAGCAAATGAACAACAAGGCATGTTCAGAAAGGATTCTTCAAAACTTTGTGTATCTCAATTTCGACGCTCAATCTTAAAAGGCTTGGCAAAAACAAAAGTGCGTAGAGAGAAGAGGCTTTTCGATCTCATCTATAGCTGAAATTTCAGGTCCCTTTTGGGGAGGGGTTGGGGGACACGGGCTCGTATCCGTCGAAGCCCTCATTTTTAGCAAACTTTGTTTCTGCAATTCCTTTGACCTGGAGCCAAGGAATTAGAGTGGTTTATACTCTCTTGCTGGAGCTCATCTGCGAGGAAAAACTCTTTTTTCTCACGTGGAATACAAACAAAATGCGATCATCCTGGGACAAAATAGAAGTTTTAGTTACCCCTTTCTCTTTACTCATATCTTCCATGGTCCCGCGCAGCACTGCAAATGATGGTCTCTCTTTGGGTTTTTCATTCCAGCAGGCATTCATGACCTTATACCTTGACAAAAAAAATATGTTGAGAAACAATACTGTAAACAACATTAACCTGATTTGCCTCCCTAAATAAATGGAAATGATACAATCAGTTTAAAGGAGGCGTTCATTAATTTTCCGAGCCGTTTAAAAGTGGTTTGAGTAAGGTAATCTTAGATTATAAGAAAGCGTCAGAAACTTGTTTTTATCTCAGTAATCACTCGTTCCCGTAATTTTAACGAAAAGGAACGCATTCGCGTCCATTCGATTTCCTCAAGTTACAGTGTGTAACCGTGTTTTAGAGTTAGCTTTCTTTGCTTTGAAGATATTGAAGGCAATAGAAGGTAATAAAGGATACGAACATTAGGTAGCTACATCAAATGTGATGCTTAGGTACTTAGGTTTTTCACTTACAATTGTTCATCCAAATGTGAAGGTTTAGGCATTCTGTAACCTTCTTGAAGTAAAGAGGCTAAAGATTTTCCGTCGATCTTCGGATAAGGCGAACCTCCTGTGAACGAGAGGTTGTTATTGAGAAATCATTGGCGTTATCCCACAATAAGGTTAAAAGGCAAAACGATAGAAAGCATTGTGATATGTCCAACATATGATTGGAGTTAGGGAAAATAAAGATAGATTTCGTAATAGTCTGAATGGACGATAGTAGAGTCGAGACTGCATGTTAATTTGTATGCTGTAGGACGCCCCTTTCTCCGCCCGCAGGGAGATTGGAAACGAGCCGGGGAGAGGTTTGCCGTGGATCTGGTCATTACCAGCGAAGAAACACACCTGCCAGAGCGTTAACAACGGGGGCCTGGAGCCTGCTCGCCGGCTTCTTTTGTAGATACAAATTGGAGAATTGAAACATCTTACTTCATTCGACGAGCAAACTCTTAATTAACCATTTCGCTTATTTCAGTTTCGGCCACTTAACGAAGGTAGATTTTAAGTCAAAGAACACTGAGAAAGCAGCAATTAAAGTAAATTTTTTAACTAATTTTTGTTTCAAAAACCAGATGGTTCTGCAGTTCAAGAGGAAGCTGGCTGATTAAACTGAAAACACGTCTCATGGAAGTGTTCATTCTCACCTATGGTAAAGATTTCGTACATCACGATTCCATAGCTCCATCTGAAATAAATTAATAACAAAGGTCAAAGAAGTAATTTTTTTTTTTTTAAGAAAGAAAAATTAGCAAATGAATTCAGCGGCATCCAGAACAGTGGTAACAAAACCAACACGAAGTAAACAATTGGAAGTAACTTACATGTCACTCATCGTCGTACACGTTCCATACAACAAGGATTCAATTGCAGTCCATTTTACAGGGAGACGACCCTACCAGTCGAGAGACAAACGAGCAAAACTTGCATAGGGTTAGATGCTAAACACTGTTACTTGGGATGTTGGGAGAACACACTCGAAAATCATATAATGAGATGTCTAGAGGCTTAGGCATTCTAAATGGTGAGCCTGGAAAATGGGTTCTATTTCTTAAATAGTAATTAAGTATTTTGTCGTGAACATTTTCATGGTCTTCAGAGTAAGCAGCGCATATCATCAATGCCTTGCGATGCAACTTAATGCGCCAATAAAACAATATATCGTGCGCAAAGTAATTTCGTTTATCAACACAGTTTTTTTTTTTAGAATATGAGACGGATCAAAAACTAAAAGAAAAAAACAAAAGGAAATGAAAAGAAAAGGTCATTAACGAGGAAATTAGACTAGTAATTATCACTTCAGGTTTACCGTAGCTGTTCTTCTATATAGGTCCTCTTTAAAAACGTCTCTCGCCAAACCAAAGTCAGTTATTTTGCAGATTTTTACTTCACCAACTAGCACATTACGGGCTGCAAGATCACGGTGAACTATCTGAAAGAATGTTTGAAAAACGGTCATACATCGATGTGGTCAATCTTTCAGGTGCCCCGTGTCTCCCAACCTCAGGTGGTCTAGTGATTTAGGAAGGGTGATGATAACTCTTACAATCTTAGCATAAACGCCGAGTATCATGAGTTAACAAGTGCGAGAAAATAACAGCTCAAAATATCTAAAATCCTAGGGAAAGTGGGGGTAACCTGCGAACAGCCCTATTTCTCCAGTAGCCACTTATAGCAAAAAAGAAAGCCCTCTGAAAGTTCATCCATTGGTTTACGTTGTTCTGAAACAGTGCGTCCATCCTAAATCGATTGAATTTCCACTTGTTTTTTTCAAGTCTGCTCGACAAAATAAAACATAAATACTTAAACGAGAGCTTTGCTCTCGAGTGTTCCCATAGCCGTTCATTAGGAATACCCAGTTTTCATGGGTGCACTAATGTACCTTTTTCGACGACAAATAATCCATACCAGTGGCAATATCCCAAGCAAAGGTGAATAAATGTTCAGAACCAAGAGAGCTTTGAGGTTTTATGTCAGGGTCATTGTAATATGTATCGTGAAGTCCACGGCTCTTTCTCAGATAACCTAAGAGATCTCCATACGGTACATACTCCGTTATAACCATCACAGGATCTAAGATAAGAAACGACATTAAAGAAAGTAAAAAACGCACCGATGTATCTGTGTTTTTTAACGAGATTGTCACGTCGAAAAGGGCTACCCATCGTTATAATAAAGTTCAGATATAACGCGCACTGTCATTGTTTGGAAGGGCGTGCTCTATGAGATTCAGTTCTACATGATGCAAATCATACCATTGTATAAAGATCACCCAGGAAATTATGCCATTGAAATGCGTCTACAATTTCAAAAATGCGCAATATATACAATATGCACTGATATTTCCAAGTGACCTTGTGCATTCAATCCATAGAGAGTAAGTGCAGTAGCACACCTGACTTAGGGACACAGCCCAGTAACTGTATGACATTTTGATGTGGTTCAAGCTTCTTCATCATGTTCAGCTCAGCAAGGAGGTCCTGTCTGTTTTCGTCGGTGGCATTTTCTATCATGGATCAAAATAAAAAACGTGCGTTGGAATGGTACGGGTCCTAAACAAAACTCAAATGAGATTAGCTCGGTAAAGGAATAGAGAGAGATTTTTCGTCTCGTCAGGAGCGTGGGTTAAAGAGTCTCTATGAGGAATCAAACTTCAGACTTTGGCGCTCTAATATTCTAAAGTTTTGCGAAAATTTTCGTCAGAATCTAAAATCAAACGAGCGAGAAAAGTATAACAATTCACGTTCCCAAGTTTATTAGTTATGAGCATTTCCAATTGCATAATCCACAGCAAATTCCCATTTTTTTTTTTTTTGCCCAAACAGTTCAGTTGCCATTGTGATAAAGACTCATGAAATCAGAGATGGGTCAAATGCAGTTTTCTCATGCATTCGATTAGGAGATGCTTTTCGCAAGTGCACTTCTCAGCCGGAATTTTGGCTTCATCATATTTCTTAGTTTTTCAAGGCACTTTCTTGTGGCATACACTGCTTTTTTTTTCTCTCCGTTCTCGTTTCCCTAGTTGGTTGGCAATAAGGCCTGGTATCATGGTACAGATGATTAGTGACAAGGACCAAAAGATTTTATTCAATTTGGGTGTCCCCATTCTTGATCAAGTTTACGATGAATTAACTGGACGGGAGAATTTCTATGTATACACACTCTTGCCATCTGATATCGTCCGTCACTTAAGCTTGTTGCAGCGAAAAAGAACTTTCATGAAGAAACTGTAAGTTATCGTCATCCACAAATCCATCTGTGTTGTGAAAATTAGTGCAAGGCGATTCTTTTTCGAGGCATCAGTTAAAAAAAAATAGATGATTAAACAAACCTTTTAACATTTTGATAGCTACATGCATGTCTTCCCTGTTTTCATTTATTCCTTTTGCCATTCCGCGAGCCACTTTACCGAAGGCTCCCCTGCCAATCACCTTCGCAAGCACAAGGTTCTCCTTAGGTACTTCCCAGTCCTTTTCGGTCGCGTTTGGAAGTATTGGAGGAATCACTGAGTATTCTTGACGGATAACGTCGTCATATGGACCGTTTGGATCCAAAGTCGTTTCTGTGTCTGCGTACATGTAATTGCGAGACACTGGATTCTGTAAAGAAAAAGTACGACACACCAAGACTTAGTCTGATAATTATTTTGCGCCTAAGAGGAGGGGAGGGGTGGATTTTAGTGTTGTCACAAAAAATGAACCCGATCCCTCCATAAGGCTCTGTAGTTTTCTAATGCTTCCTCCTGATTGGCAGTCAGTTTAGTTCCCCGAATATGTTATTGTAGACGACTGCCCTTCCCCCTCAGTTCCCCCTGAGAACCATGCGATCAAAACCAAAGTCCAACACCTCCCACGTCGTAAAAAACTAAAATAGAATAAAATAAAATAAAAATTCTTGGCCTCGTTATTCGGTCGATAAATGTTTTCCCTCTCGTTGACCTTTGATGTATATCTTGGTTACCAGATAGCTTGTAACAGTTTTTGGCTATTTTTTCCATCGGATGTGAGTTTGTGCTCAACAAAAACATTACGATGAACAATGACTGAGCGCTAAGTTATTACTTTCGGGGCGAGATAAACGAAAGGCTTGCCATTGATTTAAATAAAAATATATGTTGCTATTAAAATTGTCTCGAGGAACGTGCTTGATATCATCCTGTGAAATTTCTAAGCAGTCTTCCTCATTAAAAAAACAAAAATTAATAAACAAATAAAAATTATAATAAAAAAAATGAAAAAACATTGATTTAATTTTTTTCTAACCATTTCAATCATATTCGTGTCCGGTCTTGCTGTTTCAGTTTTTCTGTAGAAAAAGCAAAACAGAAGCGAAAACAATATACTTGATATTGCATTCCTGCTAACAACAGGTCAATTTGAGCGTTTGAAACAGACAAGTGAAGCTAACGCAACAGAAGTGTATAAAAGAGATTTGTAAAAGCTGAATTCAAGTGTCAAGAGGCTGGCTGAATATCAGGAGAGTCATATCAGCTCATCATCTGAAACTTTGTTAAAACTATGAATGACAATGATTAACACGGAGGTTGGCAAGTTGAAATCGTCTGCAAAGTTGCGAATGGAAGACGGGACATTATGATAAGCTTAAGCAAACTGAAACAGGCAATATACTTACTTTCTACCGGTAAGAGCCTCTGTCGAGAAACAAAATAGGATAAAGATGATCACGTAATTTTAATCATTAACCTTTTCCTAAAGAGCATTCGTCAGTCTTAAATTTTGTCTCGCATGGAACGCATATCAAACTGAGGGTGGAGCCAAACTCAAGCACAAATAAAAAGGAAGGAAAAGGGCGGAAGTTCCTACGTTCCCGTTGAAACTAAAGAAAGATGGCATTCCGCTTAACTCAAACTTTTCCAGAGTATAACAGATATCTATTTTTGCGCAATACCTAGGCTATCTCCACAAAGCAAGGGATGATAGTCTCAAAGAAGTTTCTAGAACACCACATAACAGTCGACTTTCTTAAGCCCCCCCTCCCCTCCCCTCCCCTCCCCTTTCTGCCCATCACCTTCTCCAAATCCAAATTCTATCGCACTTTTAGCCAAAAGGCTGTGAGGCCCTCTAGACGAGGAAGGCGAGGACGCACGGACTTACCTCTTTTCCTACACGTGATGAATAAGTAGACGACAACTAGTATAATTAGGAACAGAACCACAGCAACAAAAGCCAGATATATCGGATGTGTATTTATCGTATCATCATCAGCGGTACCATCAGCTGTGGGGAATGCGTCTGTTGTGGCTATTGCTTAAGAGATGAACAGGCAGACATAGTGTGAATTCATTTAAGACTCTGACGTGCCACTACATGTGATTGACATACTCATGACGAGACGTTGATGTCGGAAAGGACACATGATACTATTTCTATTCGCCATACCAGTGAGGAGGAGAACATCGTTTTAAAGACAGGAAAAAAAAGGTTAATCCCTCTTTTCGATGTTTTTCTTCTTTCATGTTTCCTTGCATTTTGCTATGCACAAAGTACTATTAGCAAAAGCGGAAGTTGGAAAACTTAAACTAGGATGCACTTCATTTCGAATGATAAGTAAAGGTTGATCGCGTAAACCGTGAGCAAAGTGCTACAACAAGTTCCATAGAGGAAAATAAGTTGAGAGAGAAAACGACATCTACAAAAGAGTGAGGTCTTTAGTAACCAAACCTACTTCAGAAATCATAGCACCTAAATCTGGAGCGACAGGCTAAATTAGCATTCCCTATGTATACACTCCCACTAGAGAAAGCGGGGACGGGAATGATGCAAAAAAACTGAGTCATAAATATGCCTCGTCCCAAACCTTTCTGGGCATTAACTCTTCCAACCAGAAACTGGCTCTTCACGAGTAATTCGGTCTACTTACACATATGAACTATCGATTTGACTCTTTAAGTAAACACTCGCCTACCTGATACTTCCAGTATTGTGTAGTTTAAAATTTTCGCGTCTCTAAACGCCAACTTACAACCATATCGCCCACCGTCATCCATTTTAACGTTAATGAAAGTCAAGGAAGCTTTTTCCATTACAAAAACGCGGTCTTTATAACTTGATGATAAATACTCTACTGGCTTATTCCCCTGCTGTTGAGCTATGATGGTTTCCAAGGTACCATCTGGGGTCATAGTTCCCCACTGAGCAAGGTTCAGTATGTGAGAGCTAGAGTGGTAGTCCCAATGTAGTGTGATGTTGACGCCATCTTGAGCTTGAATTGGACTGACTGGGGTCAGTACAAAAACTTGTGCTTCTAAAGAAAGAAGAATATATTCATAAAATATCCACTTTTCAAAAATTTATTCATTATCTTTTAAACTGAGTTTTTATTGAGCTATTTTGGTCCTAAAGAAGTGTAAGGATTCGTCCATCGATCGTTTGGTGGTAACGTTAACTTGAGGTATTGCATGAGTTGTTATCGATTTAATTTTATTCAGTTATCTAAAAGATATATCTCACGGCTAATATAGCTAATCTGGGTTATCGACAACAAAACTCTTTTTAAATGTTCTAATGTCAATCAGTTTAATCGCTTTCGCGCCTTTTAAAACTTTCCGCCCAGTAAACCCCTCTTCAAATTCGTAGAAATGAAGCTCAACGGACGGGCAGAAGGAAAAGAATGCGTATTTCACTGAAATAAATGCTACTTCATATTTTGCTGTACTCTTGTTCGCTTCATTTGCATTCACCATAAGAGGGTCTATAGGGAAAGCATCGTTTTCTTTCTCTTTATCACTCTTGATAGAACGTTCATGTCACACTCCTAACAATTGTGTCCCTGGACACAATTGATACTCTCAGGATGGCTACAGGGGTCTGAGAAGCAAAACGAAATATTACTTACAGCTAAACTATAATCAGGAGTATAGAGAATAATAAAAAATCATGATGTCGGCCCCACCGGGTTCATCAGAGTTAGATCAGTGTAACTGCAGTAATCGTAACCTCCCAACACCACGATGATAAAGACGATTTATTGGGTATGTGGGTTGAAACTTAAAACAATAAATGAATACGAAATTAGAACAATTGACTAGTAAAAGTGAAAGGAAAGAAATACACTGAACGAACTGAACAAAATTGAAATGACAATACTTACATTGTTACAATTTCTACGAAACTGCTGGACGAATATAAACTGCCCAAAGGCAAAAATAAGATAAACTGGAGTAACTGCTCAAAGCTAACTGCTGTATGTCTAACGGAAAACTAAACTCTGAACTTGAGAAAAACTAATTCATATATGCGAAAACGACTAGCTAACTTAAAGTGCAATTAGCGCCTATATTACGAAAGAAACTAATGAACTAAGATACGTGACATAGAAACAACAGAAGCTAACTGACCAGCGAAAAAATACTAACGAACGACGAGAAACAGCGACAACACAA